CTCGCCGATAAAAGAAGAAGCGACAGGCGAAAATGAAGAGAAAGGTTAAAAGAGCAAAAGTGAGGGGAGAAGTAAATTTGCGACAAGCAAGAGGAACACACGCCTCTCTCTGCTGCCTAACCTCGCCCATCGAACCATTCATCAACTGTTTTATAATATCACAGCGTCGTTTGTCAATCCTCTCGCTCGATATACATACATATATGTAGTGAAGGATGTAGACGGAAACAGTTCACCGGCGCGACTCCGGAAACAGCTGCTGAGGAAACCACACGTTCTTCGAGAACTAATCGTTAAACGTCCACGTATAAAATTGCTCGATTCTTTCCCCCTTTTTTCCACCGTGATTGCACCAAGCTGGCAGATTGTGCTCAATTTTCTACATCCCCTCATTGATTATTAACCCCTTGCCTTGTAAGAACAAGACAGGATCGTGATACCGATTCTGACGAAGGTGTGACAGAGATAAAGATTAATTTTGTTTCGAAATTTAATAGTGAATGCCAATTTTTCAGTCAACCTTCGATCAAACTTAATCTTCGATTTTTTTCACATTTTTTCAGTTTTATGAAGAACGATGCGTCTAACCCATGGGAGGCATAATTTTGAACGCTTTAGAGAATCGAAGGTTAATTAAAGATAGACGAAAATTGATAAAAATGAAATCAGTTCTTACGGCAAAAATATTTAAAGAATATTTATCATTCATTTTTAAACAACAGAAAAATATTCTTCTAATAGTAAGTTTAACGAAGTGAAAGTAGAAGCTTCAAATTACTGCGGCACATTACCCGCATACCACGAATGATTTCACCGACGTGTCGGCTTATTGTTAGTTACTTGTTCATGACATAATACAGCTACTTTAAAGACTACCGTGATGTTAGTTGACAGGAAATTGCGGTAATCGGTCAATTAGCACAGTTGGATAATTTGCAAATCTGCCAATCAGTAGACCCTTGTAGCTGATCGAGATCAATACCCGACATAGAATCGAGCTTAACGTTACGTTCAGCGCATAATGCCGATCGTTAATACAAATGGCAGATATATACCACTTTCAAAACACACCGGCCAATTTGCTTGGAAAACACATCAAACATTCACAATGGAGTAACGAAAATTTACGCGGCTTTGATCTACATATACATATAATATAGCTGTAAAGACGAAAAAAAGCTGCGATACCAATTCCCAGATTAATACTATTATATCATACCATGACA